CGCGGGGGAAAAGGAGAAAAGGAAGAGAGGAATTTGGTTGTCTGGAAAGAAAAAGAATATCAAGATGGCTGAGACGTTAGGAACTAACTTTCAGGCTGCAAAGATAAAAGGCTGAGAGCTGGGTTGTTTTCTTGCCGACGTTTTGTGACCAGACTAGGTAACGTCATCAGTGCTAGGAGGAGGAGAGGGGGGAGGAAGAGGAGGAGGAGGAGGACTGTGGGGTCCTTGGTGCTCTCTGAGCTTCATCAGGGCTACTGAAGACGTTACTTAGATTGGGTCACGAAACATCGACAAGGAAAAAAACGAGCTCAGGGAGCACCAAGGATCCCACAGTTCTTCTCCTCCTCCTCTTCCCCATAAACCCCACTCCCTGATGATGTACCCTAGTTGGGTCATGAGACGTCGGCAGGGAAACATGCGAGCTCGGAGAGCACCATGGATACCACCGTTCTCCTCCTCCTCCTCTTCCTCATAAAAAGGCCTGAGTTAGTTCCCCTCCCTCCCAGTGCTGTTGTAACATGGAACGGTCACTAAATGAATTCTTGTGAAGTCAAGGACTACTTTTTTGCGACTTTTTCCCAAAACTGCACCGTATGTTTCCTTTCTCCCATCCCATCAACAACCCCCCCAAGATCTCACTCGACTAGCAGGGCTTAAAAGATTCCCACAAGAGTCGCAGCTTGCTTCCCCCCCCTTCCTGTGATCTCCTGGTGGTCTCCTTTCCCAAGTCTGAAGCAGATCCAAACCCTGGTTAGGTTTTGGGGTTTTTTTTGGAGATCAGCCGAGGCTGACTAGCAGCCACCCTCAATTTGGGCCAAAAAAAGGAGCGATAATTCAGATCTTGCCGAGTCGCAGCTTTCAATTTTTAGAGCCTACCTTGCAGGGTGAGCGCTCCAGCACTGAACCAGAGGCTGTTTAGGAAAGTGAAGTCGTTCTCTTGGCCATTCCATTCCGAAGGGCTCATTCTGTGAAGAAGCAAAGCAAAAGACTTTCGCGCTTTCTGCTGGAGGCCGGGGAGTTAGGGGATAGGGATATCTGGGGTCCCCCAAGCTGAGCCCTTTGCACATGCTCAGGAACACAGTTTAAACCGAGGCACAAACAACCCAAGACAAGGGGAACTCAGCGCCATTGCCTTGCCAGGCTTAAGAAAGTGATTTTTTTCCCCTTTTCTGCGGTTTGTTTATTTTTTTAAAATTCAACTTTATCCTATTGTATTTATCTATATATATTAAAATTACTGTTACTTTCATTGCAGTTTCATTTTAAGCCAACCTGTTTTATTCCATAAATGGAATAAACTTATTCCATTTATGGAATTTATTTATTCCATAAATTTATTCCGTAAATTCATTTTAAATTGTGATTTTATCCAATTCCATTTTAAATTGTGTTTTTTTTAAATTTTATTTTTACCAGGTTTTAGTCGTAATAATTTGCGTCTGGAGCTCTGCCCTTTTGATACGGCCCGAGGGCTAATCAATAAAGCAAACTTAACTATTTCATGCCACGTTCTACAAATCCCACACAGACCCGGGATTTCCTGGTGGCGTCCCATCCCAAACGGTTCCGATTCCCACCAAGCTTTCGCCTTTTCCCTGAGATCCGCTACTATCGAACGGATGTCACCTCCCAAATTTCCAACAGAAAGAGGGTTTTTTTTCATTCTGGCTTCCGGGCCCACCGGAAGTCAGGAAATGGGCCATTTCCGGCCTCCAGAGGGCCTCCAGAGGGGTGGGGAAGGCTGTTTTAACCCTCCCCAGGCGCCAAGAAACCCTCTTCATTCTCCCACGAATTCGATCGCATTTGTGGGTCCCGCCTGCCCTTCAAATTAGGCAAAGGAATCACCTGGTTCCTGGCCAGTCCTGGGGGCGGGGGAGGGGGGGCGGCCTTTGAAATCACCTCTTTTTCAACCAAGAGGGAGGCAGGTAATGGTTACTGACCTTCCAGCCAAGAAGAGACACAGACTGGAGAGCAGGTAAGCCAGGAGGATGCCGCCCCAGGTCTCCTTGGTGAAAGGGGTCAGGAAGTGGAAGAGGGAAGGTTCCTCCAGGGCTGCTTCCTTCTCAAGCAGGATGCCGATGCCGGTGTGCAGGAATGGCTGGGTGAAGTCCACCGCGTCTTCTCTGACCGACGTGATGGTCAAGGGAGCTACGGCCAGGTCAGCCTCCTGAGAGAAGAAGAAGGGGGGATGGGGTTGAGGGCATCCCGGGAGTTCGATCCTAGGTAGAGGCAGAAATTTATCTCTCTCTGGGCACAATGAGAATATATCTGCTGGAGAAAAAAAACTCCGCTCTGGTGACAAGAAAGGCATCCGGCCAGTAAACACTCGGCTCCATTCAGTTGCCCAGATTCCACCCCGCAAGGAATTACGGGGTCATTAAAAGAAAAACAGATAGAAGGGAGAGGAAGGAAGAAGGCCTTGGCAGAAGAAGGGAAGGAGTGAAGTCTAGAAGCCGAAAGGGGGATGAAACGTTTGTGAGGTCCAGAATTGCAAGGTAACACTCAGAAGTGACTCAGGGAGGACACCTCCCTGATTCACAGGAGCGAAAGGAGGGGAGGAAGATTTACAAGACTTTGGGGGTTACAGGTAGTCCTCCACTTACAACCGTTTGTTTAGTGACCGTTCAAAGTTACGATGGCACTGGAAAAAAGGGACTTGGGACCCTTTTTTCACACTTACGACCGGTGCAGCAGCCCCGTGGGTCATGTGATTCACATTCACAAGCTTGGCAATGACTCATATTTATGACAGTTGCAGCATCCTGGGGTGGGGGGGGTCACGTGATCCCCTTCGGCGACCTTCCGACCAGCCAAGTCAATTGGGGGAAGCCCGATTCGCTTAACGACCAGGGTTATTTCCTAACTTAACATCTGGCAGCGATTCACTTAACAACCACGGTCGTAAAAACGGGTCAGAACTCACTTAACAAATGTCTCCCTCAGCGACGCACATCACTTTGTAGCAGGGGCCCGTTGTGACTTCGAACGGTCACTAAACGAACCCTTGTTCAGCTGAGGTCTGCCTCTATTTTTTTTTTTCTTCCCCTTGGCGATACAAGGTCTCCCACAGTCCAGGAATCCTGGCTATCTATATATTAGCTCAGGATTCTGGCTAATATAATGGCTATCGATCTTAACTATGTCGGTTGGGAACTTTCATTGCCAAATTGGTTGTGCGAAGGTCACGTACTTTTGACACCTCTGTGTGTTTGTGTGTGTGTCAATCTCCCCGTTTGACGAGCACCCCCCTTCCAGAAAAACCTTACCTTCCTCACGACTTCTCCGATCATGCCCGACCAGTTCCCGTTGGACCCGAGAATTCCGTATTTCCCGTCCTTCACAATGCTGACTTTGTACTTGAAATGAAGCATTTCCGACAGCTTTTCCAACAGGTCGATGCAGTAGCCTTCTAACTCGGGACCCCCGGCCATCACGTAAGGGTCTTCCTGCGGGGGGGGGGGGGGGGGGAAAGCAAGGGAAATTTCACTGCATTAAAAGTAAAAGTTCCCCCCTCCTTTTTTTTCCAAACAATCGGTCCCATGGTCCAATCAAGGGGCTGTCTGGTTGCCTGGTAACATTGTTCCTCCTCTCTTCATCCACCTAAAAGAATGACCTTGGGTCTCAGGGGAATCTATTTTTGCTTTGGCTACAAAACCCCAGCTATCTCTATTCCACCCTCCCTGTCCTTCATCGCCATTGTGGCAACGCTGAAGCCTCCATGATGGCCTCAGTCAGGACAGCTTCAGTGTTGACACAGCCCTTTCCATCGCCCGGGTGCGAAAAGTGACGCCCCATCCCTGCCTCCCCAACTTCGTGGATTTTATGAATATTTCTGAACTTCCCTTCTACGTCGAATTTCGGAGCCACCGAAAGTGTCCGAAAAGATTGGAGAAACCCCAATAATCAGAAGACCGTCTCCTTCAGTTGCAACCAGACAGCGGCTTAAGCTGAGGGCCTCTTATTTCAATACAGGTAGTCCTTGACGTTCAACAGTTCACTTAGTGACTATTGGAAGTTACGACAGCACTGAAAAAAGTGAATCAGGAACGTTTTTTTTGTGCCGAGGGCCCCGGCAGCCCTCCCTGTGGTCGCATGAGTTACATTCAGACGCTGGACAATGGACTCGTATTTATGACGGTTGCAGTGTCCCTTTTTGCGACCATCTGACCAGCGAAATCAAGAAGGACCGTGTGTGTGTGTGACCAACTTAACAGCCGGTGGTGAAAGAGGTCATAAAAACGGGGCAAAATTCACTTAAGAAATGTCTCGCTTAGCGATGGAAATTGGGACGTCCGTTGTGGTCGTAAGTCGAGGCCTACGTGTATATGAATATCGTAACCCCAACTCCAGGGATTCTGGGCTGTTTGGCCAGCCAACACCCCTCCTTACCAGAATAGTTGTCACGGAGATCATTGGTACATCTTTGCCCCCTGCCCCGAGAGAGACACTGTTCTGCGGACGAAAACATTTCAGAAAATTAGCGGCGTATTAAAAAAAAGGAAAGACAATAGCACACAGTGCAGTATGACTAAGAGTTGTGTTGGCATTAGCAATAAAATTGAAACCTTATATGTTGGGTGACCTACAAACTACAATTCTATTTTCGGGATGTGTTTTCCCTACAGAACTCTTGTGCGAAGGACAGAGGTTTCCAGGGAATTTATTTCCAGCTGCGCGCTTAACGGCTCAGGAAAGCACCTGGTCTCACCTCTGACCTCGAGCCTGGAGCGTTCCAACTCCAGAAAATGTCCTTTCACCCCTCGATTGACCTAGATTACAATCCCCAAAATTACAATCTTTTCTCGAGCCTCCGGGAGGGCAAAAACGGCCTCCCCAGGCTCCGGAGGCCCTCCAGAGGCTGGAAAAGGGCCTGTTTTCGGACTTCCGGAACTTCTGGGAGATCCGTTTTTCGCCCTCCAGGAGCCTCCGCGGAGGCTCTGCACTTATCTCGCATCCAAAACGAGCCACATGGAGACTGAGAGGGGCGGGCGGGGCCAGCCAGTCCTTGAGACTACCGGTTCGGCAAACCAGATGTAAAATTAGCATCCGGCTCACCCGAACCGGTCTGAACCGGCTGGATCCCACCCCTGGTTGGAAGGGACCTTGGAGGTCTTCTAGTCCAGCCCCCTGCTCAAGCAAGAAACCTTATATAATTTCAGACAAATCGTTCGCCAATCAATTGCTTAATAACCAGAGATTAGCCCATATCCGGCTTAAACGCCGCAGAGTCCTACTAAGAGTTACAGTTCTGTCAATTCAATATTTGGAGATTTCTGATTTTTCTCGTTTCTAGAAACCGGCTGGGAAAAGCTGAAATATTTACGTATATCCTTTTTATTAATTTCTTCCATTTCTACAGCTGCCCAACTCAGCCGAGTCACTCTATGCGTGACGTCTTGCGAGGGTTTGATAAAACCGTTCGTTCTTAATTCTCCCTGAGTAATTTGTGTTTTCAGGGATGCACTTGTGTGTGTGTGTGTGTGTGTGTGTGTGTGTGTGTGTGTGTGTACACCGATTGTGGAAGCAGATGTGTCTTTTTTTTCCCACCCATCAGAAGATATAGGCTGTGTCAGTACGTTGAGAAAATGCAGGGGTGAAATTCAGCAGGTTCTGGCGAACTGGTAGCGGAAATTTTGAGTAGTTCGGAGAACCAGCAAATACCACCTCTGACTGGCCCCAGAAGTGAGGTGGCAATGGGGATTTTGCAGTATCCTTCCCCTGCCACGCCCACCAAGCCACACCACACCCACCAAGCCGGTAGTAAAAAAAATTTGAGTTCCACCACTTGAAAAATGGATACCGACCTTTTGGCCGAAATCCCCTTCACTGGCGTCTGAAAAATACAGGAAGGAAGGAAAAAATATTATTTTGCTATAAACAGCTGCAGTTTTACGCTTTTTCCTTTTTAACCGCTGAAAAACTACAAAACAGACACGTTTTCGTCCATAAATTGCCTTGGAGATAGCTGAATTGCCTCTGTACCCTGTCGCATTCAGCAGCAAATAATCAAAAATTGACAGATTTTTAAAAAAAATCTACATATATATACAATAGGTAATCCTCGACTTACTGCCACAATCGAGCCCAAAATTTCCGTCGTTAAGCAAGATGTTTTTAAAAGGAATTCCCCCCCCCTTTTTTTACAATCTTTCTTGGCACAGTTGTTAAGCGAAGCACTGCTTAGCAACCGGCTCATATTTATGACGGTCGCCGGGTCACGCGATCCCATTTTGAGACCTCCTGACGAGCCAGGTTGACGGGGAAACTGGATTCGCTTTACGACGGTGTGGCTACCTTAACCACTGCAATGATTCGGTCAATGATGGTGGTGAGAAAGGTTGTAAAAATGGGACAACATTCACTGAACGGCTGCCTCGCTTAGCAACACAAATCTGGGGCTCGTGCCCACACTCATAGTTCAATGCCCCCTGCCCCGCCCCCCCCCCCATGCATGCATGTGTGACCCCCCCCAAACTCCCCTCGCTTTTGTCACGCGACGGCAAAACGGTTATTGGTGGGCCCGGTAGGCCCGTTTTCCGCCCTCCCCAGGCTCCAGAGGCTCCCCTGGAGCCTGGGGAGGGCAAAAACAGCCTCCCTATTCCCCCAGAGGCCCTCCAGAGGCTGGAAACGGTCCATTTATTGACTTCCAGTGGGCCCAGAAGGCCCGAAAATCAGCTGGCCAGCACGCTAGAGCAGAGCTAAGGCAATGCTCGCGTGCACACAGATATGGTTCCGCGTGCTACCTGTGGCACATGTGCCATAGGTTCGCCATCACGGCCCTAGACGTTGGTTCATCCTTCACTGATCTGTCCTTCACCCTAGAAGTCGGTTCGTCCTTCAGTGGTGGGATCCTACTGGTTTAACAATCGGTTCGGTGATTGCACGCTTCGGGAGCTACCGATTCGCCCGAACCGGTCCGAACCGAACTGGTAGAATCTCACCCCCGACTGAACTGTCCTACCAACCTAGACGTTGGGGGACATCACCGCACCCAAATGGCCTTGAAATTTTGCAGGTTTCTGCTTGGCTGGGACTCTTGACAATCAACGCCCTTCTTTTAGTCCAGGAAAATCAAAGGTTGCGGAGAGCGGAACGTTCCAGAACTTCAGCCAGTGGAATTTTTTTTTTTTTTCTCTCTGGCTTTTAAGAAATGTCCATCCATTTTGCCTCTGCTGTCTGGAGCCGAACTCTGGAATTATCCGGCTATAAAGGGCTTTCCTCCCCCTCTCCAGCCCGGTTGCAGCTCTCCATGGGAGCTGGAGACCAGTCCAAAGACGCCCCTTGTCTTCTTTTCAAGAGCCGCTGTTCGAGCCAGCAGGACTTCCCTTGGCCTCCTTTTGGACGGCCCTGTGCTGGACCGGTGGAAGGAAACAAGGGGGACCATTGAAGATTTTGGCACCTTCAACAGCCAGCCTGGGACAGGAATTGTAAAAGATGCCCCCGAGGGCCATTGGGGGGGGGGGGAAATAAATAAAAGACCAGCTCTTGAAAAAAGGGCCATAAATAATCAGCAACCGTAACGGCCCCCGGGAGTTCTCCACGGGAGCAATTGTTCGGCACCCGAATCTGGCATTTATTTTCGAGCTCTTAAGGAGCGCTGGGAAGAAACAGGGCCCCAAAGGCTGAAAAATAAGCACTGGGAAAAACAAAACAAGAATACTGATTTTTGCAACCTGTATCTATACAGGTATTCCTCGACTTAGGACCGCAATGGAGCCGAACAGTTTGTTGCTGAGCAAGACAGTTGTTAAGACAAGGGCTCTCTGTATTATTATTATTATAATACCTAACTGGATGGGTGATATCCTTTTCACTCGCTTTGGATCCTGAAATTATTGGGTGATGCCACATATTTAAAAATAACAGGACATGACATTCTAAATATACCCTTTACTTGATATGGGTGGGTAGATAGGTAGGTAGTGGGTGGGTGGGAGGGAAGGAAGAAAGATGAGAGTGGGAAAAAGGAAAGGAAAGGAAGGAAGGAAGGAAGGAGAGAACAGGAAAATGAAGGAAAGAAGGAAGAGAAGGAAAACAGGAAGGAAGGAAGATGAGAAGAGGAAAATGGAGGAAAGAAGGAAGAGAAGGGAAACAGGAAGGAAGGAAGGAAGGAAGATGAGAAGAGGAAAATGGAGGAAAGAAGGAAGGGAAAGAAAACAGGAAGGAAGGAAGGAAAAATGAAAGAGAAGGGAGGGGGAGAGGAAGGATGGAAGGATAGAAGAGAGGTAGAGGTAGAAGAGGAAGGGAGGGAGGAAGAGAGAGGGGATAAGGAAGAAAGAAAAAAGGATGGATGGAAGGAAGGAAGGATGATGAGAACAGGAAAAAGGAGGAAAGAAGGAAGAAAGGAGAGAAAGAGAATCAGGAAGGAAGGAAGGAACATTTGACAGAGAAACTGTCAGATCTGCCACCTAAGTGACCAGGGGAAAAACATGGCTTAAATCTAGAATAAGACCAAGGTACGTGGCAGTGATTTGGGCAAACACTTCCCTGATCCTTGGCAAAGTCCCCTCAAACAGGAAAGTTGCTTGTTTCCCCATTTTGGGACTCCATGGCCTGGAACAAAACTTTTCAGGTTCTCGTTGAAGCCCACTCTGAGAGGTGGAGAAGAAAGGCCCCTGGAGAACAAGGGGAAGTTAAGCTAAAGGCGAGCCTTGGCTGACATCAAACCCAAAGAATTTGGGTTTATTCGTGTTTGCTCACATTCAAGCTGCTGCAGAAAGCGGATTTTTTTGGGATTTTTTTTTTTTGCTGGAACCAACACAAAACGCTCGATGAGAAAAAAAATTCTCTGCTAGCGAATTGAAATCTGCTCTTAAATTTAAATAATTAAAATAATCCTAAACCAAAACTCCGCCATTCGTGAGACCAAAGTCCCTTCGTTCAAATATTTTCAAACCGTATTATTATCTCTTTTGCGGATTTCCACCCTTTTTTTTTGGAGTGCCTCAAAAAAAAAAAAGAAATGCATCTTCTAAAGTTTTTGCAGAGACGGGAAAAGATTGGAAGCGTTTATCTCGCCGAGCCTGGGGAGAGCTCAGATTTGGGGGTTACTTAATAGACGGATGAGGTTTTGACATGTTAGAAATGGATCTAAGGAGAAGACAATCAATTTAATTAATTTGATTAAGCCGTTAAGATTAATTAATTTAATTTAATTTAATTAATTTAATTAAAATGTTAAGCCGTTATTTCTTTTTCACAAAGTCGACGTCTTTTTTAAAAATAAATGAATGGATACCTTTGTTATCTGTGAATGGGGGTGTTTACTTCTTTATTTAATAATAATAACAGTAACGGAGTTGGGAGGGACCTTGGAGGTCAACTAGTCTAACCCGCTGATCGCGCAGGAGATCCGGACTAAGGATTCGAACCGCCAAACCACCGACCTTTCGGATCGACAAGCTCAGCGTCCTAGCCACTTGAGCTACCCAGTCAGGCAATTTAAGGCGTTTTAAGATTTATTCAAGACGATTTAAGACGTAGGAAGCGTTCCCTTCTTTCTACATTAACCTGAAAATATAACACGCAGGTCGTGGCCTTAAAAGTACTTTTCAAAATATTGAGAATAATTCGAGGAAGGGGGATGTGGGACTCTAGCGTTGTGCGAAGGGGGATAAAATTCAGGGTTTTTTCCCCCCCTTTCTTTCTTTCTTTCTCACCTGTCCATTTAGGTTGTCCGAGCAAAAGGAACGTAGCGCAAAAAATGAAGCCGAAAGCTTTACCCATCACGGGGCAGGATTTTCTAGCGGAGGGAACTCTGTGGAGAGAAAATAAAATAAAATAAATCACACGATTAATTAACAGGATTAAGAGGATACTGATTTACAGTAGATTTACACTTGTTGCGCCATTCCTCGCTCCTAAGATAGCAGCTGATCCGAATGGATCTGAAAATGAATAATTTTCCTTTCCTTCCCTTTCTTTCCTTCCCTTCCTTTCTTTCTCCCTTTCCTTCCTTCCCTTCCCTTCCCTTCTTTCTCCTTCCTTCTCTTCCCTCTCCCTTTCCTTTCTTCCCTTTCCTTCCCTTCCCTTCTTTCTCCTTCCTTTCCTTCTCCCTTTCCTTTGTTCCCTTCCTTTCTTACTTCCCTTTCCTTCCTTCTCCCTCTCCTTTCCTTTCCTCTCCCTCTCCTACTTCACTTCCCTTCTTTCTCCTTCCTTTCCTTCTCCCTTTCCTTTCTTCCCTTCCCTTCTTCCTTTCCTTCTCCCTTTCCTTTCGTCCCTTCCCTTACTTCCTTTCTTACTTCCCTTCCCTTCCCTTCGTTCTCCTTCCTTTCCTTCCTTCCCTTCCCTTCCCTTCTTTCTCCTTCCTTTCCTTCTCTCTTTCCTTTCCTTTCTTTTCTTGGTTTTAAACTAACTAAACAACCAAAGCAAAGACAGAAACAAACTATTGGCTATCCTTTTTCCTTTGCTTTTGGAATTCCTTTAATTAAAAAAAAAGAAAGATAAATATATATCAGGAAAACGGGACGATTTCAGCAAAAAAAAACCCTCGCCATTTACAACTTCTCTTTTGCCCTGTCCCTGGAAATTTTTTTTCTAGTGACCTTGATGCAAACTTTTTTTGCTCGGAGCCAAAAAATGGAAAAGAAATTCTAGCCCCCTGAAGTTTTATTCGATCGCGCTTCCCTGTCCCTTCCCAGGCGGGGTATTTTTTTGGGGGGAGGATGTGGGGAAACTGACCTTGGAAAGTGCATTGCAAAAATGGTGGAAAGGTGGAAGGAGAGAAGGTTTTTCCAGGAGAAGAGAGAGAGAGAGGGGAGAAAAGTTCTCTCTTACCGTTGGTGGCACCTTCAGCCGAGGGAGGAGAGCTCTTGATCTGCAGCCGGCTGGCGCTGATGAGCTGCTTTGGAGAAAAATGACTGCATCAATCAGCCTCACGGTCCAATTTGGGAGAGGAGGAGTTGGGGGGGTGGGAGGTGGGGGAGGCCGGGGAAATTTCAAGAGGGGAAGTATTGTTCCCCCGTTCTCCGCTGGAAGGAGGTAGCGGTGCGTTCTCCTCTGCCGAAGCGGATGAAAATGTTGGGCGCCCTTCCCATAACGGGAATAACAAGAGATGGAAGGGGGGCCTCGGAGGTCTTCGAGTCTGACCCCACCTCTTTGCTCAAGGCAGGAGACCCTATACCATTCATTCATTCATTCATTCATTCATTCATTCATTCATTCATTCATTCAATCAGAATAGAGTTGGAAAGGGCCTCGGACGCCTTCTAGTCCAGACCCCTACTCAAACCGGAGACCCTAGACCAGTGATGGCTAACTTTTTTGCCATCACATGCCAGAAGGGGGGGGCACAGGGGGATCGCGCACGTCCATGCCCACACCCATAATTCTATGTGAAAACGGACCATTTTCGGCCTCCGGAGGGCTTCCTGGGGGGCGGGGAAGGCCGTTTTCGCCCTCCCCAGACTCCTAGAGAGGCTCTGGAGGCTGGGGACAGCAAAAAAACTGCCCTTCTGATCCCACCGGAAGTTGGCAAACGGGCCGTTTCTGGCCAATAGGGGGCCTCTGGGGGATGGGGAAGGCTGTTTTCGCCCTCCCCAGACTCCTAGAGAGGCTCTGGAGGCTGGGGACAGAAAAAAACTGGCCTTCTGATCCCACTGGAAGTTGGCAAATGGGCCGCCTCTGGGGGATGGATGACATCTTCGAATCTCGCCATTTGAGAAAGTTGCATAACATTCTCAGAGACTCTACCCATCCTGCTTACAATCTTTTTGGACTGTTGCCTTCTGGCAGAAGATACGGAACAATTAAAACTCAGACCGCACGTCTTCTGAATAGTTTTTTTTATTCCAGAGCTATAATTGCACTCAACAATGAACTAAAGGGCCACCATCAGTGAGCTGTTGGACAGCATGACTTGGTCTGTTGTGTGGATGTTTGGGTGGTTTAGGGGTGGGGGATTTGTGGTGGGTGTTTGGGGATTGTTATGTGTGTTGGGTTTTCGGCTTCGTGCTTCTAGGAGCAATGTGTGTGATCGCAGCTGTTTCTTCCTTTTAACTGCCAGTGGGGGTGTGAAGTGCCAGTGGGGGTGGGGGCAGTTAAAAGGAAGAAACAGCTGCGATCACACACATTACTCCTAGAAGCACGAAGCCGAAAACACCAGCCTGAAGATGACGAATGAGACTTCGTTGAAACGTCGCCAAGACTCTTCCAATTTTATGAGGGAGAAAACCCGAATAACCAAAGATCTACTTACAAACACCCGCGAAAACCTCAGAAAACAAATATATATATATATATAATATGTTATACTGTGTATACATGTACAATGACAATAAAATTATTTATTTATTAATTTATTATTCATTTTATTTATTAAGTCTCCGTGACCAAAAAAAAAAAAGAAAGAAAAAAAGACGAATTCCTTTGAAAATGTGTAAACTCAGGGTGAGCAGGGGTCAAATTTAAAGGCACATACAAGAGGTAAATTTCGAGAGGGAAGAGGGAATAATTGAGAATCGAGGGCTTCTTTCTGTCTTTATGTATGGGACAAAAAACAACAACAACAACAACAATACACCCACCCACACACACACTTTGGGGAGAAGAGAAAAAAAAAATCCTTTCAGGGTGATGTTAAATGGTGAGCTGGTGCCTGGGGAATATTAATGAGAGAAGCTTTATGGCAGGGACAATGCTGGATGAGACATCATACATTTTTTGCAGTTGGCAAGATTCTTCCAACACTTTAAGGACATTGGAGGGTTCTGGCAGAAGTGGCCGCGATTTTCGAGTTCAGGAACAGAGGAGGGTTTTTTTGGGTGGGTGGGGAGAGGGTGGAAAAAAAGCCAAAAAGGGAAGAATTCCAAAGAAACCAATCGGCAAGGTGAGTTGGAGCCCAGAGCAAAACTTTCCATTTTGATCCTGAAGCTCATTTGGATTCGAAGTGAGCAAAGCTACTACAGTGGTGGCCAAAATTGTGGGGAACCTTTTGGGAAAAGTTGTATTTTTGAGATTTGATGGCTAATAACACCGCTTTTTTTTTTTTTTGGAGTTTCAAGAGCCTTGGTGGAGCAGCGGACTAAAGTGCTGTTAAGTAGCACTTAGTTGCCAACTGCCTGCAATTACTGCGAGTTCGAATCTAACCAGGCTCAAGGTTGACTCAGCCTTCCATCCTTGCGAAGTAGGTAAAATGAGGACCCAGATTGTGGGGGTAATAAGCTGACTTTGTATAAAAAAAAAGAACACCGCTTAGAGGAGGGGGTGGCGAAAGCCCTACTAAGCAGGTATATACAAAAGTACGAAGGCTATTGCTTAACGCATTGTAAGCCGCCCTGAGTCTCCGGAGAAGGGCGGCATATAAATCGAACCAATAAATAAATAAATATATAATCCTATTCCACTGCCTGGGAAGAGCCCAGACCTTAACCCCATGGAGCCGACTAAAGAAACTTGTTAGTTAGAAGTGACCCAGTGATAAAACCCAGTTAATAGAAGCCATCATTCAATCCGAGGGAGGACGTTTTCCCCGTCCCAGACCTCTGGTGATCTTAATCACTTGAGGTCCTCCCAACCTACTCGTCATTCTCTTCCTACCTGCCCTTCCCTCGTTGCAACAATTCAATTTGACGTAGATTAATACGTTAGTACTTACCAGCGTCCGCTGATTGAATTAGGAGGTGACAGGATGCAGCAGGAAACATCCGTAGATGGAAACGCACTCTTCGTGGATCTGGATGGAAGGGAGAAGATAAGTCAAGAAGTCTTGGTTCTTGTCAACCATCGGCTTTCTCCAAAGTGGGACTGTCTTCCAGGCCATGATCTCGTCTCTGGTGGTGCTCCTTGGAGGTGCTCCTTGGATGAGCTTCTCCTTCTCCTTCTCCTTCTTCTTCTTCTGCTGCTTCTTCCTTTAGACTCCTGACCTGAACTCAAGTTGAATAGAAGGTAACCAGAGAAGATACTCAACCTCAAAAGAACTCAGGTCTACCGTGTTTCCCTGAAAATAAGACCGGGTCTTATATTAATTTTTGCTCCAAAAGACGCATTAGGGCTTATTTTCTGGTTAGGTCTTATTTTTTGGGGGAAATACGGTACTAAATGCACCCATTTGGCTGACAATCTTAACTGGGGCTTATTTTGGGGGTTAGGGCTTATATTACAAACATTCTGAAAAATCATCCTAGGACTTATTTTCCAGTTGGGTCTTATTTTCGGGGAAACAGGGTATGTGCCCCTTATATACGTCACTTAGACATGATGTTCTACAGAAGCCATCAATGCACGCAGCTTAATGTCATCAAACGTCACCACCAGCTGGTCTCTTAAACTAAGATGCTTTAATGGAAAATAAACCCGGGTTTATTCTGAAAGCAAACCTCAGTTACGCAGAGTGTGAGTACTCACAGAGTAATTCTGAGTACAGCACCCAATAGAAGGGCCATGTTTTCCCACCTCTGATTTAGAAGACAGACAAGCAGTATGAATATTAAAACCATAAACTTCTGATATTTGCTTGGAACTGCGGACAAAGCACCCCAAGGCAGGTAGGTTAAATAATCTTTATTTTTTGGAGTTGCGTCAAGTGGTTTTACAAATAGATTTTAAATTATTTGCAGTTTAGAAAGAAGAAACCAACTAAACGACGACAAATAAAATCCATCCCTCGGCCTATTTCGTACTCTCCAACCACACGTTAACAAGAGCTAAAAAATAAAATTCAATTTATACGATCTCTTAATATAATCTCTTGATTTTTTAAATCTTATTTTGGGGGGGAAAAAATTGGGATTAATTATAATACATTAATTAGGCAAGGGGGAGTCAAGCAAATAGGTTGAAGGAGGAGTTTAATCTCCGGTTTAACTCCGAGCAGAGTTCATCGGTTTCTAATGTTCTTTTAAAGCATTGATTTTATTTAAAAAAATATAAGTGCAAAATAGACAAGCAATAAACATCCAGAAAGGTATTTCCGGGGGTGGGGTGGGGGGAACCATCTTTGGTGATTATGAACTAAGAACGAAGAATCTCACTGGTTATTCTTGCTGCCTCAACCTTCACCCACCCCTTAGTCAAACTTTCGAAGGAGACGTTCGACTCGCAAACATCAAAGCAACAACGGTTTATCTTAGGAAAAAACGGAGTACCAAAATGCATCCATTTATAGAAACGCACACAGGAACGCATGCAAATTTTTGTGCAAACTTGTTTTTTTTTTTTTTTAATAATAATAATAATCTGAAAATGGTGGGGGAAAGAAACTTTGGTTTCTAAAAGAGAGAAATTTGTCCCCTATTCCCTAGCTGCTTTCCGCTGTTCCTGGCTGTCCCACTAGGTAACTGATTACCTAGATTTGTTTCTCCTAAAAAAATGAAACGGAAGTGACAGTGCAGATGGTAGAAGGGAAGGGAGGGAGAATCACTGGACTAGAATTGGGGCCTTGGAGGACTTCTAGTCTAACCCCTTGCCCAAGGCAGATCTTATGATCCAGCTCGGTAAATTTGCATTATTCCAGAAGGAATATTACCAATAACCTCTTTGGTTGTTCTTAGGAACTCCAGATTACTGGAAGAATCCAACTTGACCCATCCAAATTGTTAAGATGAAATATCTGAAAAGATGTGGAGACTCTAGAAAGAGGGCAGAGAAGAGCCACAAAGACGGTTGCTGGAATTGGGTAGGTCTAGTCTGATGAAAAGAAGGACCAGGGGAGACACGATAGCAGTCTTCCAATATCTCAGGGGCTGCCCCAAAGAAGAGGGAGTCAAGCTATTCTCCAAAGCCCCTGAGGGCAGGAGAAGCAGCAACGGATGGAAACTAATCAAGGAGAGAAGCAACTTAGAACTAAGGGGGAACTTCCTAGCGGTGAAGGCAATTAACCAGTGGAACGGCCTGCCACCAGAAGTTGGTGGAAGAGGAAGAGGAGGAGGAGGAATGAGGAGAAGGAGGAAGGAGGAGGAGGAGGAGAAAGGAGAAAGGAGGAGGAAGGTGGAGGAGGAAGAGGAGGATGGTGAAGGAGGAGGAAGGAGGAGGAAGAGGGGGAGGAAGAGGAGGACGACGAAGGAGGAGGAAGAGGAGGAGGAGGAGGAAGAATGTGGAGTCCTTGGTACTCTCTGAGCTTGGTGATTTTCTTTCAGATGTTCCATTACCCAACTAGGTAACATCATCAGTACTAGAAGGTAGTGGGGTTTATGGAGAGGAGGAGGAGGAGGAGGAGTGTCCTCCCTCATTGAACGAGGGTTTTCTGCACTAGGCATATATAAATTTTAAAGAAAACCAGGGAAAGGGGGACTGTTGGGTTTTGCTCCGACAGCAATGTAAACATCGATTCTGGTTCAGCCCTTCCCACCGTCAGAGTTTGAAGGTAAAGACGACGTCGGTGTCGGGGTCCGAGCCCGTCGGGTTCTTGAGTTGGGATGTAAACAAGCCAGGGGAAGCCGGGTCCGAGTAACGGCCCCCCGGGAAACAGCAGGCTCCTTCGGGGATGCCCCGCTCTTCGATGGGACTCCCCTTGTTCAAGGCCAAACTTTTGAGCTTCTGCCTTTCTTGAGCTTGCCTGGCTCGGTTGGCGATGTACCTCACCCTGCTTTGACTCCGAGAAGAAGACCTTCGGAGCAGGATGGTCTCTTCCTCTTCTTCTTCTTCTTCTTCTTCTTCCTCTTTTTCCTCTTCAGCCTTGGGAGGGTCCAGACAAGTGGGGGAAGTGATGTCGTTCTCCTGCTGGAAGAAGGTGAGTTTCTTCAGGCGCTCGGTCAACCCGTCCGGACATCTTCCCGAAGTCTTGAAGGCCCCGCGATGGTGCTGGACCCCCCTCGCCGAACGGGTGGCGAAACTTCGGCGGATGCTCCGGTACTTGCTCTCCGAAGTGGACGTGATGTCGTCCGAGGTGAGGTCTCCAAGGCTTTTGGACTTCACGGGGTTGGGATCGAGGTTCTTCTGCTCTTCGGACTTGAGGCACGGCCGCTTGAGGCTCTCCACGTACAAGCGGTTCCAGGTGTGCCTCCTGGAGACCGAGGAGAAGCCGAGCGGTCTCGGGCGCAAGTCGTCTTCCACGGGTTGATCCAACCTCAAGTTGGGGTTGGATTTGCTCTTGGTCACCGTGGGGACTTCGCGTCCAGAGGCAGCGTTCGCGGACCAGGGCCTGACAATTCTTCTCTGGGGGACGACGACATCCGAGGTCTTATGAGCACCAAGGTCGGGGAGGCTCTTCCGGGCAAGGTTGGGCAAGGAGAGGTCTATGACGGTATCGTTGGAAGACATGCTGGAAGAAGAGGACATGCTGTCTCTGTGGGTGCTGAAATCAAGCTTGCTCCAGATCCGGTCGTGGACCGTGGCGTCCCAATAAACCTCCGGCGCAGGAGAACAGTTGTCAGGATGCTTCGGAGAGACTCCGTGGTCACACCGTTGGTATCCTTCATCCTTCGGTCTCCTCACAACGTTCGGTGGCACGGGGACTGCGACGGTTCCTTTGGGAGTTGCGTGGAGTGGAGTCGGCGTGGTGCTGCTGTTGTCCCTTTCGCATTGGTTTGGTGGTCCAACTCTGTTCTTCTCATCGCTTGTCATCTGTTGAACCAACCCGTCTGTCTTCTTCTGGCTATTTCCAGCCAGGGGGAGCCCACAATTGTCCGACGTGTGGTTTTGCTGCCCTTGAGAATGGGGAAGACCTCCGTGGCAAGGAGCTCTTGTCCACCCTTCTCCTTTTTTGGTGCTTCCCATCCCTTCTTCCTCTTCCGAGACGCTGGGAGCAAGAAGCATCTTCTCCGAACCCGCGTGGTGCTGCCAACGAGAAGTTCTCTCGAGATGCCCAGGGTGGCGGTTGCGTCCATCTGGAACGGCTTCCTGGAAAAGACGAGGCACGGAGTCTTCTTTGGGGTCGCTGGCGGGGCAGGCGGGCAGAAGGAAGCAGGAACTGCGGGAAGGCTGGTTCTCGTTGGCGACGAAGGGCTCTTCGTGGATGGTCTGCAGACTGCATAAGGAAGGGGCCGACCGGTGCATGGAGAATTGGTGGACATCTGGAGGAGGAAGAAGGAGAAGAAATCCATGAATGAGGGAACGCCCAAGAAGTTCTCAAAGAAGATCGCTAGCACAGCAGTAGTGGGTTTCAATTTAGTTTGCTACCGGTTCGCTCGTCCGACGCTTCTGCGCAGAAGCCCCCAGGGAGGGTTGCCGGAGCATCCTGCCGCCACCGTTACCGCTACCTGATCCGGGGCAAACCGGTAGCAACACACTACTGTTGCACACCCTTGTTGTCCCATGTTTTGAGTTACGAGTTGAAAAGGGTGTCCCGCTTTAAGGCATACTTGCCAAACCCAACCATCTCTAGGTAAAGGCAGTCGTGCTCAGCTCTTATCTTGGCACACACAAAGGGGCAACGGGCCAATTCTCTCATCACATCCCACCATACACACCATACACCATACCCACCATACACCAAACACCGTAGAGGGGGGGAATAATCTATCTGTGCAGTCATTAAGAATGGAAAGCGACTTGATCGCACAGAATCAAATCGTCGGATCCTATAAAGTTGCATAACCGCGTGGCTATTACATCAAGGAGTGGATATTTAACGAGAAAATATTAATACTTCAAAATTAATATTTGAGAAGATACTATACTTTGGGGGTTTTTTTGTTTTTTTTTAAAAGAAAGATAAGGTAAAATAACGTACTTTGGAAAGATAATATACTTTGGAGGGTTTTTTTTTTTAAAAAAAAACTATCACAAAATATTGAAAAGAGATTAACTTTCAAGCACCCGGCCTGAAACTCGTAATATAAAACAAATATGTAAAAAAGAAGATTACAAAAAATAAATACGCTACGTGTAAATACGTTGAAAGGATTTGCAGGGCTTGGCGTAGACAGGAAATGCTGCAGCGCACCTGGCTGTTCCCAGCCCTGCCAACTCAAAGTTCGGCGGGACGATTCGGGTAGGATTTAACAGTAACAGAGTTGGAAGGGACCTTGGAGGTCATCCAGTCCAACCCCCTGCTCCCACAGGAGATCTGTACTAGGGATTCGAACTGGCGAACTGCCGACCTTTCTGATCGACAAGTTTAGTGCCTCTTTTTTTTTTTTTTCCACCCTGTTAGTCTTCCTAAACTTCTTAAGTAATCTCTCCATTTCACTTTAACTAGGTCGTGTGAAGACTGCCGGTCTCGGGGGAATGTATGGATTTTGCAACCCACAACACTAGGATTCGGAAGCAACCATGCTCCGGAGGAGATGTGGCTGTACACCGTGGCTAAATCAGATCCCCCAGAGGATCCCAGCGATCGAGTGCCTTCAATAGCAAGAGCACTTAGACTTATATAGCGCTTTTACAGCCCTCTGTAAGCGGTTTACAGAGTCAGCCTCTTGCCCCCAACAATCTGGGTCCTCGTTTTACCGGCCTCAGAAGGAGGGAAGGCTGAGTCAACCTGCCTGCAATAACGCATTATAACCACTGCATCACTGGGTGGGAGTGGGGGGGAGAGAAAGAGAGAGAAAGAAAGAGAGAGATGATAGATAGATAGATAGATAGATAGATAGATAGATAGATAGATGATAGAGACAGAGAGAGAGAGAGAAGGATAGATATGGATGGAAAGAAAAAGAAAAAGAAAGAAGGAAGGAAAGAAGGAGGGAAGGAAGGAAATATAGATGGATGGATGGATGGATGGATATATAGATAGATGATAGACAAACAGACTACAGAGAGAGGGATAGATATACAGATAGATGGATAGATAGATGATGAGACAGACAGACTAGAGAGAGGGAGGGATGGATATAGATGGAAAGAAAAAGAAAGAAGGAAGGAAGGGAAGAAGGAAGGAGGGAAGGAAGGAAGGAGGGAAGAAGGGAAATATAGATGGATGGATGGATGGATGGATGGATGGATGGATGGATGGATGGATATATAGATAGATGATAGACAAACAGACTCCAGAGAGAGGGTAGATATAGATAGATGGATAGATAGATGATGAGACAGACAGACTAGAGAGAGAGAGGGAGGGAGGGAGGGATATGGATGGAAAGAAAAAGAAGGAAGGAAGGAAGGGAAGAAGGAAGGAGGGAAGGAAGGAAATATAGATGGATGGATGATAGATAGATAGAAGATACAGACATACTACAGAGAGAGGGATAGATAGATAGATAGATAGATAGATAGATAGATAGATAGATAGAAGACAGAGACAGACAGATGTGAGAGAGAGAGGGATGGATGGATATGGATGGAAAGAAAAAGAAAGAAAGAGAAAGAAGAAAGGAAAGAAATATAGATGGATGGATAGATAGATAGATGATAGCAATAGCACTTAAGACTTATATGCCGCTTTACAGTGCTTTACAGCCTCTCTAAGCAGTTCACAGGGTCAGCCTTTTGCCCCCAACAATCTGGGTCCTCGTTTTACCGACCTCGGAAGGACGTAATGTAAGGCTGCAGAGAAAGCAGGCAAAGGAGAGAACCCCGAAAGACGTCTTCAGTTACCTGGGATTTGATCATCCTTTCAGTTCTTAACTACGCGGTGAAAGAAGACGACACGAGGAACAGGACAAAACCAAAGAAGAAGAGGGAAAATAAAAAAACCAAATTAGTTCAGGGACAGAGAATAAATTAGGAAAAGGAAGCCGGAGAAATGAAATTATCTAAACGGGCAGATCCTGAGAATTCCGCTTTCGACCAACCAGAAGAAGCTTGAAAGAGAAAGAATCGGGGGGAGTGAAAAGGCTGTCCAGTCATTTATTAGGAGCACCATTCCGGCAATACTGGGATGCAGTTAGGACTGATCCCACGTAGATGTACGTTCCCCTATGACCCTGTCTCTCCCCTCCTCTCTGGCCGTGTCATAAATCACATTCTCCAATTAACCACTTTGGCCGGCTGTGAAACCTAACACCCTCCTTCTGATTGCGGTCAGGAAGAATGTATGGAATGCACTTCAGTTAGGGAAATCAATCAGCTCTATCAGTTCTCCCTCCCTCCCCTGGGGGGAGGGGGGAAGCCAGATTCACTTAACAACCGTGTTAGAAACTTAGCCGCTGCAGTGATTCACTGAACGACGGTGGCAAGGAAGGGTTAGAGTTAAAATGGGGTGAAACTCGCTTAACCGATGTTTCTACTTAGCAACAGAAACGCTGGGGGTCAATTCTGGTCGTAAATCGAGGATTACCTATATGATACATAACTCAAGGAACCAGAAGCAAGGCCGGGGATGAGTTAATTCTGGCTTTCCTTGAGGTAGCTGCTCTGGTTGGATGAGAAACGGTTCTTAGGATTGCACCCAATGGAACACACAAAAAGGGACAGCACAACAGCTTGCAAAAGAGGAAATGGGCTGGCATGCAGGGGGTACGCTATGGTCAAGCCCCCAGCGGAAATGAAATTACAACACCATGCTCGGACGGTCACTAAGGGAGGACGATGCTAAAGCGGCCAAGCCCCACGCCGACAACAACTAGGGAACGCAGAAGTTTCTACGGGGGAGACGACGGCACGGATCTGGAACGGAGGGTCGGGCGTGGGAAATCCGATCTTACCGGTGAAGAATATAGGGGATTTACTCCGAATTTCCTCCATTTTTTCAGAAAACAAGGCATTCATTTCCTTCTGAAGGGTGCCCGCCTGTTTGCGGGCGCTCTCCGGCCAACCCTTGGAGAAATCGGGGCTCTCGAGACTGTCTAAGCTGCTGGAACTGGAGGACACTGAACCGTTGTTGGAGCTCACCAGGTTGATGGTGCTTCGGTATTTGCCACCGGGCGGAGCGCGCCACCGGTGCCAGGACCGGTCCATGGCCCCGAGACACGCTGAGTCCCCCTTTTTCTTCCCTGAGGTCCCGAAGGGCTGGCAGGTTCTGGGCAGGCTCCTGGTAGCCCCGTAGCCGGTGCATAGGTGTAGATCGGAGCGGGCGCGGGGCTGTTCCTGGATTCCCCAAGGTTTCAGCTCCACCCGCTCCTCGCCCGCCGAGCTACCGCAGCAGCCGCAGTGGGGAGCATCGCCAGAGGAAGGCTGGCCGGCGATGGGCTCGCTCCACTGGCCCTCCACCTCGGGGCTGTCGCTGGAGCCGACCACACACTTCATGCAATAAGTGGCCATGCCAATCCTACCCGCTTCGTTGCCCTGTTTCTGCCTGGCCGGTTCCTGGAGGCAGATCCGGATGGATCTCCGGATGGGTTCGCTGAAGGTGGCGTCCCGGAACCCCTGGCTGCTTCTGCTCTGCTCTCTGCCCCAACTGTGAGCCTTACCTTTGGATCCTTTAGGGTCCACTTCCGTGCGGCTGACACCTTCTCGGGAAGGAGACGCCGCCGGGGACGGGAGGTCGGATTCTTGGTCAAAGCGAGGGTGGGAGGTGTCTTCCAGAAGGGGGTCCTTGCTGGCTCCTTCCGAGTTCTTGTCTCGGGCATCCAGGGCGATCTTGGGCTTTTTTAAGCTCTTGGTGGGCGCGCTGGCCGTCCGCCGTAAAAGCTGGCTGCTAAAGGAATGTTTGCGGTTGAGCTGACCAGCAACATGGCTGTCGAGAGAGGCCTGTTTTGGATTTCTGAGAAAGAGACTTTTTATGCCCAGCGCTGGTTTGACCTGGAGGGAAGAGAAGGAGAAGAAGAAGGAGAAGGAGAAAAGCCATAACAGAGCGTGTATGGGTTTTTTTCTCTCTCCCGGCGGGGCGACGGGGAGAAAAAAACAAACAAACAAACCAGACCACGCACTCAGTAGCCGTAGGCAAGAGGTTATTAACCTCGCGGTAGTCTCGGCTAATCCCCGTTCGACCGGAAGACAGAATTGGGAGGGAAGAGAGGGGAATGGTAGTATGGTTTCAAGACTTCACGGCTGTGTCGACCTGCCCATCCCCAGCTATTTGGTTTCCATTTCCTAAACCCAAATGACGGTCCCCGTCCCCCCGTGACCGCACGCCCAATTGGGTGTTGGAACAAGTCTAACATTTGTGGTTTTCTTCTTCTTGCATTACCCAAGAAGGTAGGAGTGTTAGGAGGTGGACGGTGGGGTCCCTGATGCTCTCTAGAGCTTGGTTGTTTTTTTACAGATGTTTCATTACCCAACTGGATAACATCATCAGTGCTAGGAGGAGGAGGAGAGGGGGAGGAAGAAGAGGAGGAGGAGGACTGTGGGGTCCCTGATGCTCTCTGAGCTTGGTTGTTTACTTGCAGCTAGGTACCATCATCAGTGTTAGAAGGGAGCTGGCTCTTTTTATCTCCTAGAGGCTCGCCATATATAAAAAGAGAGCCAACCGCGCTCCTTTCTAGCGCTGATGATGTTACCTAGTTGGGTCATGAAACAACCAAGAAAACCACCAAGCTCAGAGAGCACCAGGGACTCCACAGTTCAGCCCTGTGTCAGCGTCCCAGCACTGACATATATAAGGAGAGGAGAAGCTTGAACTTTTGCCTACTTAATTCCTTTGAAGATTCTGTCCCCTCGGAGATGGGAGGAGGGGGACATTCCTGTGATCTGATGGAGAAGGGATGAGGAAAGTGGCTTGGAAGATAGCCAGTGAGACCCAGAGAATTGGGGATCGGAAAGAGAGGGATTGGGGGGGGGGCAAAGGTCAGTACTGACCGCGAAAGAGCCAGGGACAGATCACTATGCTCAATAAAGAGAAAATTTCCTTAAAGATCGGCAGTTTGGAAATTCCTTTATTTTGAGATAGCATCGAAACCTGACATCCTGAGCTATTATTATTATTTTAAAAAAAACTAAGTGGGTGGCCAGCTCTTAATCGCTTTTGTCATGTAGGGCACCCACAAAATAATCAAGATATTTGGGCAAATACATAAGAATAACTGTTCCAAGCTGGCAACCACCCCATATACAGACAGACAGACAGACAAAGAGACGGCAAAAAATCAGCAAGAAATCTCTCACGTACAACATACACAGATCATGGAAGAGGGGACTTCCACCCCATGCCCCCCCCAATACAAGACTCCCCCCCCATTGATGGAATGCAGTGGTGTGCAAGTGATATTTCTTCCCCCCATCAGCCCCTTGATGGGGTCCTTGGATGCATCCCCACCCAGCCCCACCCCGGTGAGGCTATTCGCTGACCCTTGAATCCAAACGAGCGATTCAAGATCCCAAATCCGGTGCAAATTTGGTTGGGAAGCCATTTAAGAAGAAGATCCAGCATGTTCGCTCCTGGGGATCCAGTCCCAGGAATTGGGTCCCTTAAACGGAGGGGTGACAAATTGTGGGTTGCATTTAAGGGGTGAGGGTGCCCTGAGCTCAAGACAGAGCAGCTGTTTTAGAAGGAAAAATGACCCTCCGTTGAGAGAGGAAGCGCAGGTAGCCCTTGACTTACAACGGTTCATATAGTGACCGTTCGAAGTTACGACGGCGCGGGGGGGGGGAAAGAGACATGACCGTTTTTCAAAGTTCAAATCCTCGGCAACTCATCATCTTTCATCAATCCCATAATCCCTTGCGGGGAGGAGTCTGGGCAACTGAATGGAGCTAGCAGAGCATTTGAGTGGCCGGATGCTTTTTCCTGTTGCCAGTGCGGAGTTTTGTTCAGCAGATATATTTCTCATTGTGCCCAAGAGACAAATATCTGCCTCTCTCTAGGATCGAAATCACAGCCTCCTGATTGTGAGGTTAAGAGTTCCACCTCTAGGCCATCACACCACTCCAGACCCTTGGCAACGGACTCATACTTATGACCGTTGTAGCATCCTTAGGGACAGGTGATCAAAATTCAGACACTCCGCAACTGACTCGTATTTATGATGGTTTGCCATATCCCGGGGTCACGAGCAAAGTCGACGGGGGAAGCCGGATTCGTTTAACGACCATGTGACTAATTTAACAGCTGCGGTGGTTCGCTTAACAACCATGGGAAACCTGCGTAAAATGGGGGGAAGGTCAAAACTCACTACACAGCCGTCTCGCTTAGACATCAGTTGCGGTCGTAAGTCGAGGACTACCTGTAGAAAGTACGGAGGAAGGAAATTGGGAATTTTTTTAAAAAAAAACCTGGAGAATCCTGGATCTGCTTCATAAACGTGGAAAATAATCTACAGGTTCGATGGCTCGGCCAAAAACGTTCCGGCAAATGTCGCAATCCATGTTATGAGTGTTGACCGAGTTTTGGTCGGGGAGGTATGTGTGTTGTGGTTGTTGGTTTTTGTTGTTGGTTTTTTTTTTTTTCCAGGAGGAGAAAAAAAAAAGAAAGAAAGAAAGAAAGAAAGCTAAATAAGGAAAAAAAAGACACACACACACACACACAAAAAATGTTAATGATGTTTTGGGGTGGACGGAAGCATGCAAGCGTGGTGATGCTCCCAGCTCACTCCACCAAGGGAGAAAGGGTACCTTCGCGGCGTCTAAATTTGTTCTGCTTCTAAAAGGAGACCTTTTTTTGACACACTGCAATCACAAACAGACAGAAGTAAAAAAGCAGAAAGTGAGACACGGAGGAAGAAGAAGAAGAAGAAGGAGCCGAGACGGCCCTGCGAGACATTTAGGAAAGAGTCGGGCACGCGACCCACATGTGAAAAATCAGACAAGTAACACAGATAAATTACAAAAGGGGTGGGGAGAGAGAGAGAAAATAGAGGAAGGATACAGGTGGAGTTTGACATTATTCAATCCCCCAGGAATGCAGCAAAACAAGCAGAAAAAGAGAAAAGAGAGGAGGGATCTAGGTGGAGTTTGACATTATTCAATCCCCCAGGAATGCAGCAAAACGAGCAGCAAAACGAGCAGCAAAACGAGCAGAAAAAAAGCGAAAGTGGCTTTCCGAGCGTACCGGATCATTCTTTTTTTAAAAAAGGTGGTTTCTTTGCAATAAAGAGAGAACATCCCCCCCCTCCCCAAATTGCTCAGCTACGCATTTTAAAAGTGAGGGAAGTGCTGAAAAACGATTCATTACCTGGTTCTGAGACCTGGATACAAATTAACAGAGTTGGAAGGGACCTTGTAGGTCATCTAACGTGTTTTCCCGAAAATAAGACCCTGTCTTATATTTTTTTGAAGCTCGCGGCGGTGCTGCCGTTCGTGAACGCAACGGCAGAACAAACCATGCAGAGTCCTGCTCCAAGAGGTGGTAGCGGAGACACATTAGGGTTGGGGGGGATTGACTACACATGCATTTAAATAGTTTCAGGGTGGGGGCTTATTTTTGGGGGGGGAGGGGCTTATTTTAGCGCATGCGCTCAAAAGCCCGATTGGGCTTATTATCCGGGGAGGTCTTATTTTCGGGGAAACACGGTAGCCCGACCCCCTGCACAAGCAGACCCTACACCATTTTTGACAGGTGACAGTCCATCTGTCTGTCCATCTGGGGGAGGGAGGGGGGAGAACTACGGTTCCCATAATTCCCCTGGGAAGGAAAAGTGGCCCGGACAGCCGATCGCTGTCCATTCTGGGCTCCCTAACCGATTTATTTTCCTTTTTCTGGGGGTTTCCAGATCGGGGCTAACAGCTCAAAGGATTCGCTCTCGTTTTTGGGTGGGGTCATTTTTGATTTCCTTCCTGCCGTGATGCTAGTTGCCAATGTGGATCCCCCCCCCCCCAGAAATTGTTGCAGCAAAATATTGTGGGGAAATTCATAGTGCACCTCCACAATGTAGACGTTAGCTATTTTCGTTGTTGTGGCATTCATGGTAAGGAGACAACATCTCTTTTCATGAATCTGCTATATTATTATTATTATTATTATTATTATTATTATTATTATTATTATTATTATTACTACTACTACTACTACTACTACTACTACTACTACTACTACTATTATTATTAATAATAATATCCTGTTCATGCCTTCTTTTCACCCAAATCCAGTCCTCTAATTGTGGCCTGTAACTTCCTATAAGTCGTTATTAAAAAGGTGGGGGGGGGAAACATCTGCAGAAAACATTAAACATGCATAGAAATATATCATGATAAGAGTTAACGGTTACCATTCCAACCGCCAACCTTTGCCCTAGCTCAGCTCCAGCGCGCATGCGTGCACCGGCCAGCTAATTTTCAGCCCTTCCAGTCCCACCGGACGTTGGGAAACTGGCTGTTTCCTGCCTCTGGAGGGCCTCTGGGGTGGGGGGTGGGGAAGGCCCTTTTCGCCCCCCCCCAAGGCTCCTAGAAGGCCTCTGGAGGCTGGGGAGGGTGAAAAACGGGCCTTCCGGTCCGACCGGAACTCGGGAAACTGGCCGTTTCCTGCCTCCAGAGGGTGGGGAAGGCTGTTTTCGCCCTCCCCAGCCTCCAAGAAAGCTCCTGGAGCCTGGGGAGGGCGAAAAACAGGCCTACCTGGCCCACTGTGCCATCATGTGCCAAAATTGGGGGGAGCATGGGGGGGACGGGGCACATGGAATTATGGGTGTGGGCACACACATGCGCGACCCCCCCCCGCTACCCCCACTTTTGGCACGCGACGGCAAAAAGGTTAGCCATCCCTGTTCTAGACAAATGGTTCTCCAAACAGGTGGTTAGGAAAAACAGGTAGCTTGGTCATCTCAAAATGGGGTTTCTTTTTTTGCCAAGGGTGCCGTGATGTTAGCCGAAGGATGTTCCATACTAAACTCAAATCATGAACGGGTGAAAAGTCCCCTTTTCTGCATAATTAA